TCATAATAATGAGATAGCTAAGTCATAATTATGAGATACAAGTTTTATTTATTTTTATCAGTGTGGTGGAAATGGGCTTCCATACTACTAGTTAGGTTTAGGTATGGTGTGAATTAAGTTTTGGCTCAAGTTAGAGTCAGGTATAGATCGGTAAAGGTTAATGTTAGGGAAAATGTCTGGGTTAGGCATGAATGCAGTTGCAAAAATGAATGGAAGTCGATACAATGTCCTCAGTTTGATGCAACTAGGACAGGGGTCTGCAACCTTTACAATCAAAAGAGTCAATTGTGCTTCTTGTCTCACTAATAAAATGTGTCCAGAGTTGCAAAACAAGCTAAAATTGTGATTATCAACTGGTGGTCCGTGGGCCTTTTCAAGGCCTTTCTGGGTACTATCACGGTCAGTGGAGATGACATTATAAAACAAAAAAAATTGTTATTATTGTTATATTATTTATTATTATACATATCAGGAGAAATAAAAAATACCATATTCATGTAAACAAGAAAAATACTGCATGTAGTTTATACTGAATTTCATTGATGTTTAAGTAAACAAAAGGCTAGATATTAGTTATACAAAAAACAACAGACTAGCATGAGCTAAAGTGTTTTACTTTTTGTATTAGTAGTATTGATCACATATTTGCATTCAAATTGATTTCTGTTGTGAATATTAAAAACAACAACAAAAAATGTATTCTGTTATGTTTGGTCACATTTTCAAAGAGCCACATGTGGCCCCAGAGCCGCAGGTTGCAGACCCCTGAACTAGGATGTGTGTGCGTGTGTGTGTACTTTAAGTATTTGTTTAGTAAGTTTTGTCATAAAAAATACTTGAAAAATGTTTCTTCTAGTGGAATATAATTTTCTTTATTTTAGTCTTTAAAAACAACCATATTTTCACAAAACATTCTATTTTTTGTCCATCTGATGACATCATTTTAAAATATTAAACCAGATTTTATGATTAGTTACTCAAGTAGCTTCTTCACAAAATACTTTTTTACCCATGCTTGAGTCATTTCTCRGACAGCTAATTTCTACATTTACTTGAATAAAATATGTTGAAGTAGTACTACTTGTACTTGAATGAATTATTTGGGGTACTCTGCATACCTAGCACAAGCTTTTACCCAAAATGCCCGTCTATAGAAATAAAAATAACTTTGCACTAATAGGACTAACTTCAAACAACTGCAACAAGCTGCAGCTCTGATATTCTTCTTGCTCTGTTTATTTGTTTAAAAAGCAGATTATGGTGTAGTAAATGCAAAGAACATTTTATGTCAAGACGCATATGCAGAWACATTTGGTAGCAGAAGCGCTTTCAAAACGGAAGGCAGCAGCCATCTAATGCTCGTTGTGGTCAAAGAAACTACAAACCAACAAACACAGCTGAGAATGAAATCTTCTAAAAATAAAGTTAATGATAAAGTGGTTACGCTTATGGAAAATAATGCTTAGGGCTGAATCACACCAGTTAAAAAAGTCTCACATTTTGTCTGTTTGAATTTAATTTTTCTTTGTAATCAGCCYTTAGAGCCCGACCTGAATTACGCCTCGTTGAATCTGAAGCTGGCAAAGAAACGCAAAAAGCGGCGTCACCTGCAAGGCCAGGCGCAGAACAGGCACCAGCAGGACCAGCTGGACGTRTCCGCGCCCTCCGGGAACACCTTCTTCGAGGTGGACGCAGAGGTGGAGGCTCTTCTTCCGCCCAGGGACAACAGCACCATGGTTTCCCACAGCAGCATCTACCTGAACAGTCAGCAGATCGCCCTGGAGGCCCAAGAAATGGAGCAAGAGCGGAGCGTGAGCAAACTGACAGAGAGCGCAGGTCGGGACGGGTTGCAGGAAGGTGACGGCGGGGGGAGAAGAGATTGGAATGAAGGTGGGGAACGTGAGGAGAGAAAAGACAACCCTGACGATGGGAACGCATGCGTGCAGCGTTTAGAGGTAGAAACCGCCCACAGCGCCACTGATCCGTTCACTGATAGCTTTAGTGGTGATGGTGACTAACAAAGTTTTACATTAAAGAGATCCCTGATTAGTTGCAACATTAGACCTTATTTCATAAACATTTATTTAACTGTAAAATAAAGACTGTAAAAATACTGTAGGCTGTTTAGTTTTGCAGTTTTAAAAAAACATATTTTAACACGGACGGAGCCATTTTAATTACACACAAAGCATTCTGGGTAAATGATAACGTGGATAGG